GTTGTTAATACATCTGCAGATTTTATGTAGCAGAGGTGCTGTTACCACAATGTAGCACAAATTGATTATCACAATGTTCAGTCAAATATTATTACAAAGGCTAAATGTTATCACAATGTATCACACCATTTTCTAACAGGTTATGATCAACACTAAATGTACCACAATGTAGCACAATTGAAATTACTCTAGGGCTTAAGGCAATCGTCTTCGTCTCAAATACAGGAAAGTATCTTCACTATATTTGGATTCCAATTGAACAAGAATATTAATGTACAAAATGACCATCTTGCCCTTGTTCATATAATGTCATTAAATGGCAGTAATTAAGATTCTTTTTAATCTTACCCATTGATTATTATAATATGTGGTTGAGATTAGTTCTCACAGTTACCACAAACAATTCAGTTCTCATTTGATTAAGCCCATATATATATATATATATATATATATATATATATATATCATTTCATACATACATACATACACACATATGCCTACACATACATGCATATTAATGCCTACATATATACATAACATACACATACTCATATATATATATATATATATATATATACCCATATATTGTGCATGTATCCCTATGCATAAAATACACATACTCACATATTAATTTTACGTAAGCATGTATCCATATAAACAATTAATTCACATAATAAATACCTTGGATAATAATCAGAACCCAATTATCACAAGTAATGATAGTAAGTAATACCATTATCGCTCATCAGGGATTTTAAAAGCAAAGAGTTACAAAAGTCAATCTTAAAATGAGATCCAATAGGTAAAATCGAAGCAATATCTTGAGAATAGATTAACCAACTACTGAGATGAAACAACAACTAAAAGGAAGCAAAGGTGCAAGATTAGGTTGGAATTTCAGCATCAGTGTGCTAAAACCTTGCCACAGCAAAACTTAAGGTTGTTGCAACAATAGCTCTATACAATACTACCGGATTGAATGACCTTTTTTTCAAGTGCAGATTATACTCCATGTTGGCATACCTAAAACGAGCACAAATCCAAGCTTAATACATACATATCTTACCTTTCTTAGCATATAGTTTTGCAACCCATAAAGTTGTTGCAGCTCTTACAACCTCTATAATTCTACTGGTGAAAACATTTATGTTGGCTTATTTTTAAGCCCAACTCATCCAAGTAAAATAACATGTTTTAATTTGTCAAAGATTACTAGATGAAACATTAACCCAATGATGAATAATGAAGTAGATAGTTATGATAAAAGCAATTATCCATGAACATTTCTCTTTTTCCCCCCAACCTTCATTTACACCCAAGCTAGGGTGTTTATCCCGACATTACTGGAATTAAAGACTTAAATGTAAATGACATGAAAACAACTTGTTGAAAAGTAAGTGTGTAGAAAATGTAAAGTGAAAGTTGTAACTGCTACTGAAGCAACTAGTATAATTGAAGAACACTTTTTAAATACTTAAATATTGCAAGTAATATTAAAGTATTAGAATAAAAAGCTTTTGAGAAACTTTGTTTCTGGTGGCATACAAAGAATAAAGACAAGCTTCGTCTATATAGCACCAAGGGAGAACAAAGGATAATAAAAGTACAAAAAAACATATTGTCCAATGGGTATTACCCAAACAAAAGTCAACTACTACTAAACTAGGTAAGTACATATGCAAGGTATCTTTCCACAACATCTTTGTGTCCAAAAACATGTTATTACATCTTCCAAAAAAATGTTTTCTTAAAAAATAAAGCGCTAAAAACTTCATTTTGCTAATTGAGTCAAAGGCCAGATGTGGTTGTTGTGGCAATACCTACTACATCAACAGTTTTGTTAACAACTTATTCACAAACACATAGAACATTACCAAATTCCACAACCTAGATCTAGATAATCATAAACCATAAAATAAGAATGAAAGAACTCAATTTATGATTTGAAAGAAATCAATTGAATTAGAATAAGGTGCTAAATGGGTGTTACGGTGTATACTTCTGCATACTTATCATCGCAGTCAGAGAGGAGGAAGATGAGAACGTCTTGGAGGCGACATGAGGGAAGTGGTTGGGGTCAACGATCCCAGCTCCCAATCTCCAACTGGCTCTTTCATACATACATATATAGCTATAGGTTATTTTGAGAAGTGGTAAATATTTAAGAAGTAAAAAAGTGATCTTAGCCCTTCATGCGGTCAAGATCGGATTTGACTGGTCAAGAATTGCGGTTTTGACTAATCAAGAATTGCGGCTTTGCGGAAAATAGAGGGGTAGTTTTGTAACTTTTATAAATAGGCGGCAAACGGGTTCATATGTGAACTCGAGATGGAGAAGAAAGTTATCTCCTTGTTCTAGGGAGGTGTGCCTTTTGTAGATATATATATATATATATATATATATATATATATATATATAGGGGCCTATTCAAGAGAGAACTGAGTTGTTTGTGGTAACTGTGAGAACCAATATTAACCACGAATCAATAGATAAATTAGGAAATTTATAAATTTGGTAATTTTAAATTAAAATCTTATTGCAAGGATATTTTTGGTATTTTAAAACTCTCCTCTCTCCTCTCTTCTCTCTCCGGCCACCGTCCTCCGATGATACCACTATGATACCACTGTGATACCTAAAAATATTGACTCTGTTAAACAAAAGATACATTGTGATACCTAATCATATATAAGATGCATAGTGATACCACTTTGTTACATCTTCGATCGACCACACAAACGACATCAATGTGATACCCAAGCACATATATGATACATTATGATACCATTGTAGTATCACCGGAGGACGGTGGCCGGCGGACGGTGGCGGGAGGACGGTGGTCGGAGAGAGAAGAGAGGAGGGAGGAAAGTTTTAAAATACCAAAAATATCCTTGCATTAATATTTTAATTCAAAATTGCCAAAATTATAAATTTCCTAATTTATCTATTGATTTGTGGTTAATATTGGTTCTCACAGTTACCACAAACTAATTAGTTCTCATTTGATTAAGCCCCTATATATATATATATATATATATAATCATAAACTATTGCAGTTAATGACAAAATATCAAACAACCAAAACTCCCCTGATTTAATAGAGCTTAAGTTAACAAAGTTAAGGGAAGGGACCCAATTCGTAACAAAAGTGAAACCACAATGACTGTATCTGTAATTATTTCATCTGGGGGATCTGATCCATAATTTTCATATAATCACAGGTACGAAATATGTAATTTAATCAATCCATAACACAACCAATGTTCAAAAAAGCTGCAATAGTAGTTGTGGCTTAAGGCTTGTGTCTCACCTCACGTTATGTCTGCGGCACACCAAGACCTAATATGTCGTTTTCGTAACGCAATTTGATTTTTCTTGCTTTTTTTTAATGTTTTATTTATTAATTTCTAATGTATAACCTAATTTAAATTATTTAATATCATTGACTCATTAAGTATTAGTAAAAAATATATGTTTATATGTATAATAATTTATATGATATAAAGATTTGCCACAATAAGTTACCCCTTGAAAAACGCCTCGATCTCGTCATGGCTTCTAAGGGGGTGTTTGGGGTGCTTATTTGAAACAACTTATCAACTTATTATAAGTCAGAAGATTTTAACTTCTTCAAAAACTCTTTATTACCGGTTTGACACCGGTATAAGTTGTTTATCCAAACACTCAAAAATGCTTATTATCGGTGTCACACCAGAATAAGTCAATAAGTTATTTTTATAAGCAATCCCAAACACCCCCTAAGCTTGAGGCTTGACATTGTTGTCACACCATTTTGAGCCTTGAATGAAACTAATATAGGGACCGTAATTGTATTAAACTTTAAAGCACAAGGACCAAATCTATAATTTACTCTTTTATCTAATTAAATCTCACACACGGATTGCGATCCGAGAAGGTAAATCCACCGTCCGATTAAATCTTATCAAACGGATTCCATTGAACTTTAAATCGCCCGCCAGCAAGCTTTCAAATCCCGACCTTCCTTCAAAACCCACATCTATAAATCTCAATTTTATCCCCATTTCCTTCATCAACCTCAAATTCGAAACCCTAATTCTCATCTTCTTCTGAAAAATGTCAGGCCGTGGGAAAGGAGGCAAGGGATTGGGAAAGGGAGGAGCCAAACGACACCGTAAGGTTCTTCGTGATAACATCCAAGGCATCACAAAGCCCGCCATTCGAAGGTTAGCTCGCAGAGGTGGTGTCAAGCGTATCAGTGGTTTGATATACGAGGAAACTCGTGGAGTTCTCAAGATATTTCTCGAGAACGTCATTAGAGATGCAGTCACATACACCGAGCATGCTCGCCGGAAAACAGTCACTGCTATGGACGTCGTTTATGCTTTAAAACGACAGGGGCGTACTCTCTATGGATTTGGTGGTTAAATTTAGGTTAGTGCTGGTGGTACAAATCGTTTAAGCTACTGTATATCATGCTAGGTTTATCTTTTTGATGTTTGATTCTAGCTTTAATCAACGATCTTCATTTTGGGGGTTGTTTCATTCTACAAAAAAATCCTGTAATTTCTTTAAAAAAGCTATGGAACAGCTTCGATTTTAACAATTATAAGTAACCTTTTCATGTTTTGTAAATCATGATCTTGGTTGCAAAGATGATTGTCTAAATTGAACATAACTTGTTCAAAAACCAATGACTGTTGATTTAGGGTTTTTATATATTTGAGTTTCCATGAAATAATTTTGCTTGGTGGATTATGATTTTTCAATTTATTGATGTTTATGCTTTAACAAGTTTGGTATTTGTGGTGGTGGGTGGTGGTGGCCGGTGCTTGAATTGAGTCCGGTGGTGGTTGGCGACGGTGATGATGTAAAATGAACCTGTTAAAATTGCAAATAATAATAAAACTCAATAAATCCAACTTCTTTATTACATTATTCATGATTGTCCTCTTGATCTCAAAAGAAACAATCAAAATCAAGCCTTAACAGAGATGGTAGAATTACTAGCAACAGTAGTGGTGGTGGTGGTGGTGTTAGCAGCTTGTGGCGGAGGTGTGGTGGTTGGTGGTGGTGGAATGATGCTTGGTGGCGGAGGTGTGGCAGTTGGTACATCATCATTATCAGAAGATATATCACAATAACCACGCAATATGTCACCTTCTTCAGTCGTAAATCCAAGTGATCCAAGCAACGACGGCCAGCATTGCTTTTCAATTTTCTCGATCGCCCTACAACAACCTGTCCCTAAATACGTCTCGCCATTTAAGAAAAAGAGAATGATTTCACCGGTGCACGATTGGAGTTCAAACAACGTTTCCCAACACCCGGTTGAAGCGCCATCTTGACCATCGTGGCTATTGAGTCGAGCTGCTAGAGTTGGAGCATTGGTGGTGGCTAAAGGTCTGGAGATGGTGGGAAGAACCAGGGTTAGAAGGATTAGCAGAGAAGGGTTAGCCATGATTTGTGGTTTGAGTGAAAATGGGAGTTAAAAGAATATATAGGAGATGGATGGTGAGGGGTTATACGATTGTGGGAAGCCAAGGGGACAAATAACGATGATGGAATTTGAAAGATTTTTGATGTTATAATAATTAAATTAAATGAGTTGGTAATTATTTAATTAATTGAGTTTATATCTAATTAATTGAGAAACAAACATAAGAATATTTTTCATAAAATCATATATGTTCATCGTTTTTCATATATAAGGTATTGAGTTCAAGTCTTTTATTACGAATTTTTTTTATAAATATAATATATTTGAAACTAAAAGTTAGAAATTAAGAAAATGATAATAACAAGATTTGAACTCAAGTTTGGGATGAGAAAAAACTTATAAACCAACTTTATCAAATAAAACTTGTGGTTTTATTGTAGTTTCAAAATATATACATTGTCATATTATAAGTTGATTAGAAAGGTATTTGCGTAATGCAGCGAGATAAATTTCGATTTTAATGTTTAGTTTTTATTCTTTGTCTCTATCGATATAATACGATTTTATGTGGTTTTGCGAAAACGATAATATTTTTATTTTTAAATGAAATATAAATTTGAAGATAACATAAAATTTTGAAAAAAAAATGGATTGATATTAATATCAAATTAACTATTTAATAGTTTTTGTTTTTTGGTTTAATTTCTTTAATTCTATTTTTTATTATAATTTAATTTTAGATTTAATAACAAAGTAATTTATTTTTGGTTTAATAACATAGTTTTTGATAAAGATAATAATTAAACATTCTGTTCGAACTCAATGATTATCTTAATTATAGTTTAGATTTTCAATATTTAAAATGGATGTTTATCATGTATTTGATTATGTTTATCTGGAGTTGATACTATATATTCTTGGTTAAAAATTAATGTTAAGAAGCCTTTTATTTTCATTGTTGTGAGAAAAAATTTGTTTATTTAACCTATGTTATTTTTTTTAGAGTCCAACTCCAAAAAAATGAAAAAAACCCAATTTGTGGCCTAACTTTTGTAGACTTCATCAAGCCCAAATAAAGCCACATCCTCTTTACATTTTGGATCGGCCAGAAGAGTTTGGAGAGGAGGCATTTTGGCAACTCCAACCTCATCACCAAAAAAAACACCAAAAACACCAAATCTGGTGGACTCATAAACAAAAAAAAAAAAAAAACTCAACTCCAATCACACTCTAAAAAAAACATCAAATTTGTGGACCCCACATTAAAATAACATATTTTATTTACTATTTTTAATAACAATATTTATAATTTGTAATAGATATTATAATAATAAAGAATTAGTAATTAATTTATTTAATGAAGAAATGTTAAAATAAAAACGATAAAATTGTAATTAATAAATTTTATATTTAAAAATATTACATTAGTTCAAATAGCACAAATTAAAAAAAACACATAAATAAACCTAGCAGGAAGCTTTAGTCAGTTTATGCCTAACGAAGACGATTGGACCCTTTAATTTATGTATTTCAGTTTTTAAAATTTCCATTAATAAAATACGTTTACGTTTATCCGATATCATATTTGTGTTATTAATAATTTATTATATATATATAAATTTAAATAATAAATATAAAAACCTAAAACTTAATATTTGTAATTATTTATTTATTTATAATTTATTTAAAAATCATTAAATATTGGGAAAACATGGTGGGGACCACCAATTTGGCAAGATGCCGTTCTTCTCCCCCGGCATATTTGTCGTTCATTTTCAGCGACCGCTATAGTTTTGGTGTTTTTGCAGGTCGATTGGATCCAAAAGAACGGCAAAACTAAGGTTTTACCGTTCGATTGGAGTTGCCCTAAGACGTGGGATCGAGAGGGAAGGAGGCGACAATAGTTCGTGGGGTTCAAAATGGAGAAGACGTGGGGCGCGATCGATCTGATTGGAGAGGGACGTGATCGAAGACAAGGGGGCTGGTTCGTTATAAAAAGCGAGAGGGACTGGAGAAGCAGGGGCTGTTCGATTGAAGGGAGAGCAAGGACAGCAGGCTGTTCGATTGAAGGGAGAGAGAGGACAGCAGGTTGTTCGATTGGAAAGAAACGAGAGCAAGACAGTCGGAGGCTGTTCAATTGAAGGCGAGAGCGAGGACAGCAGGTGGTCTGTTCGATTGGAAAGGACAGAGACRGCAGGGGGCTGTTTGATTGAAGAAGTCGGAGACGAGAAAGAGACAACAGTGGGTTCCATTGGAGAAGACGGATGCGAGAGTGAAGACGGAAATCTTTCTCATCAATCTTTCTTGATCCTTCCGATAAGTCCTAAAACCTTTAGAATCAGTAATCTAGTTTAGCTATGTGTTGCTAATTTGTTCATTCCAACGTTGATTTAATTAGGTTTTGATTTGTTATTGCTTTGAGGATTCATTGTAAACATGTTGAACAAGCCTTTTTGCTTGATTTCTGAAATTAATGTTTATCATATTTGGGTTTTTAATTAGTCTAGCTAACTAATTGGAATTCTTTTATGGAATGGTTATTCAGAATTCTTAGATACGTAATCGTCTTAGAATTTTGATAGAGTAACACTAGTATTCATTTGGTTTCGATAAGGTTCTCGGATGGAATATTTGAAATCTTGCGATTAGAGTCTCGATAAGCCGAGCTTATGAGCTTATGGCTTTGAATTGGTACTTTTTTCTAGTCCGGTAAAGCTAGTCGCACCTATGAGTTTAAGAGCTTTTTTGAACTTGTATTTGTGGTTAAGGGTTGATTAGAGAACTTATTTTAATCAACGATTATCTATGGAAAAAATTGGGTCGTTAGAGCTTGTTAACGATTAAAACCAATTCGGGCTTGTCCTTTCCGTTTACATTTTTTTGGAATCGATGATAGGTACTAACATCTTAATCGGTATTGAATCGATGTTGGGACTTTAATCAATTGTTTTAATTTATATATTTTATTGCATTTTTAGAGTAATTAATCAAATCCCMCCCCCCCCCCTCGTGATTATTAGTTTTTTTTCTTTTATGTTTTCATCGTGTACTTGATTCGCTAGTCATATAACGTTAGACCGAGTCTCTGTGGATTCGACCCGACTTACACTACTATAATTTTGGTTGTAACTAGTCGTTAGTTGTAATTTATTATTTGATGGACTCGACATCCGTCAGAAGTTAATTACATGAATTTAAAAATAAAGATTTTTAATCCCAAATTTTCATTCCCCGTTAAACCGACAGGATTTTCCCTTGGTCCTCTAGTTTCTCTGATGATCAAACACCGACTCCCATTCTTATTAACCCAACTTCCATTCTCTTTGACCATATCATGCTTCACATTCCTTTATAACATTTTATGGGTATTTCTATGGTACTTGAATCACATTTTTTTATGTTAAATTTATTATAAATGTTTCGACTTTAACTCCTATATGATGATGGGTGTATGTGATGTGAAGAAGAAGGTAAAAAAAAAATAGTATTAAAGAAATTAGAAAAATATATGAATAGGTTGAAATCGTGGATTAATTGGTTAAATATCGAATCAAAATATTAGATGAATCAATCATATCCAATGGAACCAACAATAATATCCAATGGTTGGATTCCAATCATCCATCAGATTGTATTGGATTGGTACTTTCGTCCAATGTTAATTGAACTGAACCAATTGAAATCAATTGGATTTTCAACCATAGAAAAGTCCGGGTGGGACCCTTATTATATATACGAAGGAAATTTCTATATGAGATTGTTTTTTTTTGCGGAAATTAAACCTTTAACCATCGATCATACATAGACGTTAATCACTACAAATTACTCGGTTTATCAAGATATCTATCTAAGTTGCTATTAGCTTTAGTCTTATATTGCATCATCGTCATCGGCATCATCATCGTAGTCTAGCTTGGGCAATGGAATTTGATTCATCATGAATCTATAGTTGTCACCTTCTTCTATCTCCCATTGTCTCTTCAGTTCTGAAATGGTTTTAGATGCTGCAGCTGCAATGGTTGGGTTGCTGTCCTCTGCTAGTCTCTGCAACCATTTCATTTCATTTGGAATGTCTAATGCTATTAGTTACTAAAATACCCTTCAATCAAAGAGAAGTTGGTAATTGTAGTTTGCCTAGACTGTGCTTTGTGTTTCACTTTCCTCTGCCCTGTTGGTAATTGCTTATTTGCATACACTCGCACCTACCCTTTGGGGTAGAGGTAAGGTACGTGTACATTTTACCCTCCCCAAACCCTACCTCTATGTGGGATCTACTGGGTCTGTTTTGGTTTGGTTTGGTTTTTCAGAGAACTTGGTAATGACAGATTTGGGGCAACCAAGTAATTTCCACTTCCGGGGGTCTTCACAAATAGCCTCTCTACTCCTTGGGATAGAGAAAAGCTCTGTATACATCTTACCCTTCCTAGACCCTACTCCATGTGGGATTAACCAGGTTTTGTATAGTTTGATTTGGTTCAAGTAATTTAAGATTTTTGAAAAAGACATGATAAAAGGAAAATTGTTGCAAGGGGCGTATTACTTGATTAAGACGCCATCTATTGAGATGATAGATTACCTGTAATGCCCCCATGCCTGCATTTCCAAGAGTCCACATCGATGGTGCAACAGATAAAGCATTAGCCAATGCTTTTCTGCAATATAAAGAAACAGGCATTAGAAAAGACCTTAAGAAAGCTTTGGATCATCATTCACTATAAAATTCCTTCTTGATGCAATTGTTTAACTCACATCATATGGTTTCAATAACTCCCAAATCCTTTAAAATTGCATGTTTTGACTCTATATGTAGTTTTATGGAAGTATTATACTGCTAACAACAGGTCTAAGACAACCAAAGATGAACTAGGAGAATCTTATTGACCAAATACAGCACAAAGTTATGTGTGCTTTTTGCATTTTTCCACAAATAGAATGGTTGGTCGGGGGTCTTCATGGAAACAACCGCTCTACATTTTTAGAGGTCAAATTTGCATACATTCCACACCCCGAACCCTACTTCCAAATGGGACATACCTTTGCATTTTTCCACAAATAGAATGGTTGGTCAGGGGTCTTCATGGAAACAACCGCTCTACATTTTTAGAGGTCAAATTTGCATACATTCCACACCCCGAACCCTACTTCCAAATGGGACATACCGGATGTGTTTGATTTTTGGTTTGCTTTACAAATAAGAAGAATGATTCACAACAATGTGCAATATTCCAAAATATCTTTAACTTTCTATTTAGCTACTTGCAACTAGAACAAAAAGAACTTGAACAGTTAAAACCCACGTTAGAATTTGTCCAAAACCACTAGTTAACACAAAGCATGGTTTTTCCCCCTTCCAAAAGGTTCAAAAGCTTGTTGCAATGAAGTGTCGTGTATAATGGTTCACAATGCAATCAGTCTACATCGAAAACAACCTTTAACAATAACAAAATTGGGGCTCTTAACAAAGGCCCTTTGGCCTAGCGGTATCCGGGCCTTTGCCTCCCAAGAGGCCAAAGGTTCAAACCTCACCAACGGTAAGGAAGATGTGCCCGTTACATAGATATTATATACTTCAAAAAAAATTAAAAAATTGGGGCTCTTGCAACGAAAATCAACCATGTCGATAATATGTAATGATGACAAGTAACATGGATATGGTAAGCTAGAAATTTTGCCAAAAAATGCTTCAATTTTCATAGGACATTCCAATATATAAAGTCTTGACGAAAATAGTTGCTCTACTCTATGGGATAGAGGTCAGGTCTGTGAACATCCCCCTCGGACCCCACTGGGTGGGGTGTCATTTGGTTTATCCCAAAATATTGCACTTTATCCAACATTACACACGTCGACAAGAAAATACAACTATAAGAAAGAAGATGGCAGTGAAGTATATTAATTATGAGAATAAAAGAAGATCTACCTTGTATTAACGTCAGGAGAACTTGAACACTCTGCCAATAATGATACACTACCTTTGCCATCCATTGCATCGAGATCCATCAGTGTTGCAACCAACAACTCAAGCTGCTCCACATGTAAAAATGAGCAAAGGAATTAGCATTGCACTGAATTAGTCCTAAGTTTGTCTAATTTTGGTTTTCTTTCCAGCTGACCTCTTCAGGGTCGGTATAGTCAATTCCATCAACCTCAGAAAGTGCAGATGCCATATCCCGATAAGCTTCCTGAACATCTTCAATATATTCATATATGCTAATAAGATGTGTTGAATAGCAGGTGGATTATTATGGACCTGAATAGCAGTAATGCGATCAGTTGAAACCTCCCCAAGGAAAAAGTCAAGGACCATTCCGTTCTTTTCAAGTGTTATTTGCCCCGCCATGTCATCGGAAGATAGAGCTCCATTTTTCCTGTACACGACTTGATATCAATAACGTGACAAAAAGCTAGGACGGTAGTGCCTATCGGCATTGTTGGTAAATCATACCATACCAAACAGACACAATAAGTCCCACGCAGATGTATGGTCTGAGGAGGTAAGATGTATGCAAACCTTACCTCTACCCCAAATAGATAAAACAAGTGAGAGTGTGTATGTAAGCAAACAAGCAATGTAATAGGGCAGAGGAAAGTGAAATCGGTTACACAAACAAGTATTGAAAGAAAAAGAAGGTCCATGTTTGACTTTCGATATCAAATGAATTACTTTCTCAAATTCAAAATGGAAGAGAAGATAACAGCCTTGTCAAGATGCAGGAGCTAGGACTCAAACAAGTAGTGAAAGAAAAAGGAACAAAAGGTTTGCTGATTTTCATACAAGATTTACACCAAGACTTTGTCATCTGTAGCATTTGTTATAAGTTCAATGTACTTGGCCAAAAGTTTCGTGAACATTGACAGAAACCATATAGTAAAAATGAAGTTGAAAAATAATCCATTCAGCCTCAAAAGTAGCAGTATATTTTTTTGAATGAAAAGAGAATATGCCACATTATCAGATATTCTCAGAAAGTAGAACTTACAGTTCATACATCTTGCTTATCATCATGTCATGGACGTCTTTTATGAACTGGAAAAAGTATTAGAAGTAAGAAAAAAAGGGAAGTACATGATTGTCATAAAAAGATACAGCAGCACACCAAAACATACCTCTAAAGCCATGAGGACATCTTCCATTGCCCGCTGCTTGGCTATATAGTCAGCACGCCGGAGATCAGCCTGATAGAGCATAAGAAATATTTTAAATATAGATTCATTGATCACAGCCGAGATTTTCGATACGTGATACTTTCAAGACTGAAAAATCACCAAAATCACTATTCAACTTATACAAGAATATTGTATTTACATATTTAAGCAAAAGAACTCTTGATGAGTTGTTAGTTAGGTCAGTAGTCACTACAGCCCTAAGTTAGACTAAGGGCCTTTATCTTGGTTATGGTTTTCCTGCACATGCTTCTATTTTTATGTTATTTCTTACTCGTATCTAACTTTTCATTTTCTATCTCAATGCATTTCTCTCTTTCAAACACTCTTCACAAGCTGAAGGTATTCACGGAAAATGCCGCTCTACTCTTTGAGGTAGAGGTCAGGTTACATACATCTTACCCCTAGACCCTACCTCTCGGTCGGATATATTCGGCTCATCTCTACTCTTTGAAGTAGAGGCCATGTCTGCATACATCTTACCCCTCCCTGACCCCACCTCCGAGTGGGATATGCTGGGCTCATCTAGTTTAACTATTAATGAATTTGAAGAACCATTACTGTAAATATAAGCGATCATTTAGTCCCAAGGAACATTGTTCATATGAAAGACCACGAAATTTGATATTTTATATAAAGCATAAACTCGAGGACTGATGTTGTGGTTGATTGGACAAAACCCACAATTGGTAGGTGCTATTGCAAAGAAGACAACTGTTGTATATACCAAATTGGAAGTCCAACTAATAATATGGGTTTATTGCATGTATCATGGTTATATTGCCAAAACAAGCCAAACTTCTATCAATGTATATTGCATAATGCATTCGTCGAAGTTACATCAATAGGCTCAAGGCTTGAATTTGCTGAAGAAAAGAACAAAAACAGAACACATAGCTGCAAACACAAGTGTTCATACAGCTGCAATTTGTTTGAAGGAATTGACATCTATATTTAAGTCAACACCACCACCAACAACAAAACATTTTTAATCGAAACCAAATTGGGTGGGGTAAAATGGAACCAAAAAAATCTCTACAAAACAATGTGCCTAAATCAAAGTCCACTTTGTGAAATTCTCTGTACTGAGAAAAAAAAGTCTCATTTAGGCAGAAATAACCCAAAGCAATCAAGTCTTCCCTCACAGAATATATCCACAACATGTTCAAATTTTGAAAAGTAGACTCCTATAATGGACAGAAAGAAAAACAGATTTTCTATACTTGATATTTCATCAATTGATCAAAATTATCTAACAAATAAATTCTCTTAGTATTCTTCTTAATTGTAATTAATGAAGTTTTGAATGCTCAACCTCATTTCTGGTAGATCTGTTTCTCTCTCCTGTCTCTCAGAAACACCTCCTTTCATCCTAATATTAAGGTTTTCAACGAGGTTAAAAAGTTTCAAATCTTAAAGCAATCTTAAGGTAAGTGCTTGTTCATTAGGTCGTGTTCAAAAGATGTGGTCTCTCTTATCATGGATTTTGCATCATGAAACCACAAGAAAAGTGAAAGGGTGCTAATGATTTAAAAAAGACACAATTCTAGTCATAGGGGAACTTAGAAATTAGTTCATGGATTGCTAAATTAATCCCCAATCAAAAAGAAAAGATCAAGCAAACAGAAGCACCTCCAAAGCTCCATCACTCCAATGTCGATCAGCAACGCTTTTCAATTTAGACTGAGCTTTGTTATGTAAAATCTGTTAACAAGGGAAGTACACCAAAGTGAAGTTATGTTCTTGTGGTATACAGCTTTTCTTAAGTTAAACGAACAACTAAAACTACAAAGGGACGTACAAGGGCAATGTGATGGAGATTCTCGGCTCTTTTCTTCACGTCATTGTCAATCTTTTCAGTATCCTCCCTAGCCCGAGCTACCAAGCAAGAAGGTGATTAGAAAAATTCCGAACACATTGCTGTACTTGTCTAAAAGAAGGAGCACTGTTATGTATATCTAATTCCTAGAATAAAAGGACAGTTAAAAGGAGACCAAAAACTCAGATACTGGTTGTCTTTTTCCAACTAAATAGACAAAAAAAAACTAAAATTTGATCATTTTAAAAGAAATAAAGAAAAAAAAGCAGCTAACAGAAGAAAGGGTATGAAGATCAACATATTTATATCCAATGAATATCGATTTATATCCATGTTGCAACATATGTTAGTGACTCTGACTTCTAAAGAATATTACCATCAAGCATTAAAAATCCCGAACCCAGAATAGCAACATCTTGGCGTGCCCGAGCATCCAACTTCCTAATACCACTAATAAGATGAGAAACTGTCATCAGGTTGAAGAACTGTAGATTGAATCTAAAAACAGATACATAGACTAAGGATAACATCAACATATATAAAACCATCAAACCAAAAATGTATCAGGTTTCAATACTAATTTGTGGTTAATTCAAAATTGAACAGGAAATGCTAGCAGGTGAACAGGAATATTAATTAATTGGTAAGAAGAGAGGAAGCTGCAGGTCCAATTCGTAACTTGCAACATTGGAAAAGTCAGCTACAAATAAGCTATAACATTTTATGAGAAAGAGAGTGCAAGAAAAGATGGCGAAGATTAACTTTACATGCTTGCTAGAGGAAAGTTCATTACTTGTTGGAGATGTAAGATGATGGAGGAAAGGCGTGAGGCTCTCATATTATCAAAGACAAATGAATCTCAAGCTAAAAACATCTTTCTGTTATATCAGCAATAAAACGATGAAGGGGGAGACCAATTCATATGTTCGGACCACTGTGACAGCACTTTTCCAAAGGTTTTGCCCATCTTAAGTTCTATGGGCCAAACCCAAGGTTCTAAATGGAGTGAAGCATGGCATGGCAACAAGGTCAAGCCTTAGAGGCCACAATGTTTTCAAGGTATGGCTTAATCCAGCAAGTCAGCATATCATCTATACATATAAAATTGGGATCGTGTGAGAAATCAAAATTTCATGAGAAGAGCAGGAAGGTTATAATAAAATGTTAATATAAATTAACATGAAAATGTTAACATAAGTTAAAATACATTAACATGCCTTATAATGAAATGTTAACATATGGTAACTTATGTGAACTTCCGCTAACAAAGTGCTTCTTACGCTTCTCATGAATTTTTGATTTCTTACTGAAACCGAACCCTATACATATTTACATACGTATATATATATATATATATATATATGTATATACACGTATATGTTTTCTAGTATTACTCAATGATATTGAACAATTTAAATTCATATATACAAAAATCATATATATAGCTTACAGAAGTAAAAACACTAAAAAGTAAAAATAAGGCAAATTTTTAAAAATAGTAGAATCAAAAAGTCAAACAAAGCTTCAAAAAAACATGCACCATAACGTGCCTCAAGACGCCATAGCGCCAGGCACGTGCCTCGCCTTACACAGCTGCTACAGGGTTTAACATGGCGTCGAAGACGTGCCTTGATGCCATGGCATGCCTTTTAGAACCCGGCCAAATCAAACCTTTCCTACACTTGGTCACTGGTCAAGCTTCTAAACATTTCGTACAACTATAGTTACTTTAGCATGGAATACAACTATAGAACATCAGTCAATGGTAACATATACAATAAGAAATCCAAAAACACAGGTCAACCCATGGTGCTTCTCTTCAATTAATAGAGCATTAGCTTATAAAAGATTGCTTCCCTGTTGGCATACTTACAAGCGACGATAACCAATTCCCTAATATCCTATGCTGTCAATCGCACTGCTATAGTGGTGCAATGGCGGTGGTATAGCGGTTTGCGGTCCTTGGGAGAATAGCGGTTTGAAATTCTGGTGCCGCTAATAGCGGCACTATTTGCCGCATTTTGACCACAACTACAGTTGCAATAGCAGTGCTAAATCTGCGATTTTCTTGTGCTATATTTTTTACTTTAGTTGGGCTATCTAGTGTTGGGCTCAAATTGTCTGGATCTTTCTTTTGCCAAAGTGTCAGCTCTATTAGGTTCAGGTTAAGGCTTCTGAAGTTCACGATTTCTAAGTTCTGAAGTTTGTCAACAATATTTTGAAATGATGTCAATTTTGAAGCTGAATATAGTTTGTTTGACTTTATAAATCATTTGAAACTTCAATTATTTCCTTATAATCGTTAGGAGCACGTAATTAGCTGCCAAACCATACGTATTAATATGCAATTTCAATAACTAGATAGACTTTTGACTGCCAAAATATACACATCTATAATTATATCGACCGCTATACCACCGCTTTTTTACCAAGGAGATAATCGCTATATCAAATCACAATCGTGACCATGATTTCAGATTTTGACTGCAGTAACAGCATAGCTAATATCACAGAAAGTGTTTCTCTTTAATTACTAGAGCATTGTGAATCAATCTTGCCAGTGCACTCGAGTAGGTGACATGAGCATAACAGGGCAACAGAAATTACCGAGATAGCAAGAAAAGGTCACTCTTGGCTCTTTCATTAACATATCTAGCATCATTGTAAGCAAATTTACAAGCTTCAGCTAATGCCCGGTTTGTAACACCAATTCTCTCGGGATGAAAATGTTGTCCATCTCCGCCCTCAGTTCTACTACATGTAAAAGAACTATTAACTACTTGTTGAAAATCTCACACCAATCAAATATTAGTTTAACACTTGCTAGAAAAACAAGCATGATCCATATTTGAGTACTTTACCTTGGCATTTTACAAGATTTTATGTAACATAGATCTTCCAGCCTATACAATTTACAGTAATTAATGCATCGCATTTTCTACAGTATCTAAAGATATTTCTACGATTCTAGATTTGTGTGTGTGAATTTGCTAATGACGCTAATGAATGGAATGAAGATAAGCAATGTCTCATTGATAGATAAGACGAACTTTGACTTTCGAGCTCAGTTTTTTTCCACCAACTTTTCAACTTTAGAACTACCATTGATTATTCCAATTTCAAGAATGTTCGATCATGAGATAAACCCCATATATACATATATTATATACACATACAGGATATAACCATAGGTTCATTTGAAAAGTGGTAAGTATTTGAGAAGTAGAGAAGTGATCCTAGCCCTTCATTTGGTCAAGATTTGTGGATTTGACTTGAAGCACCGGGTAATTCCTCGCATGGTATGCGGAAGATATAGGGGTAGTTTCGTAGCTTTTACAAATAGGTGGCCAAAATAAGTGTATATGTGAACCCGTGTGATTCACATATGAACTATATGTTCATGTGTGATTCACATATGAACTATATGTTCATATGTGAACCCATGTAATTTACGTATGAACCATTTAACTAATTCACATATGAACTAATTAACCAATTCACATATGAACCCGTGTGGTTCACAAATGAACTAATTAACTAATTCACATATGCACTTGTTTGCCGCCCATTTGTAAAAATTACGAAACTACCTTTCTATTTTTCGCTTGACCAGTCAAAGCTGCGATCTTTGACTAGTCAAAGATGCAATTTTTGACCAATCTCGACCGTATGAAGGGCTAGGATCACTTATTTACTCCTCAAATACTTGCCACCTCTCAAATGAACCTCTCTCTACACATACATAATGTGTATATGTGATATACATAGTATATATGTCTGTGTGTGTTTCTCATGTGAGTGCATATATATGTGAATTCTTCAATGACACAACAAAAAGGAAATAAACATGATCATTTTCACATTGGCAAAAAGAGGTGCAGTTTGACATTTGAGGTCACACTTCCCACCTTGCAACTCTAAAACTATTTGAATTCTTTAATTTCAAAAAAAATTGATTATCTTACAAACTCTATGCTGGATAAATGACGTTTTTCAGAAAACCAGGATTCACACTCAAGAAGGTAACGTTTTACTGCCCCCATTGATGTTGGCTAGCAACACAAGTGTTTGGTTCAAACTCGGGACCTTCTGGATATCTGGAACAAGATTTGACTCGGCAGAACCTAACGATACATCCAATACCAATGATTCGTGCCTAGAGTGCATTACTAGATCTCTACTCTAGAAAGCTATACAGGCAATCACGAGCAAGAAGAAGAAACGAGTATCACCCAGTTTTTTTTATTAACCTGGATATCCAACCCGCTATGCGAGCCGACTAATCCCAGGGTGGTCTTGGATATCCAACCCGCTATGCGATCCGACTAATCCCAGGGTGACCACCCGCAGCTCGTATCACAAAATTCTTTTATAAGCATAAGAAGCACAAACTACAAGAATAAACAAGAGAGCCTACCCAAAGGTTTCAGGCTGGATTGTAGGAAGTGGACGATAAGTTTTCTTATAGTACAGTACGATGCAGAAAACCTTTATAGGCTACCATGGTTCGCTTCTATCCATCCGGTTAAAAGAAAGAAATACTTTAAGGACTCACTTTCATACAATCATAATTTGGAGATTTGTGGATCAACACTTGAGCAAGCCCGGTTGGGCCAGCAAGAGAAAATTTTTGGTGTTAAATTAAGAGTGAATTACAATTTTCATCCCTTTGGTTTGTTAATAATTTCGATTTTCGTCCCTGTGATTTATAAATTGCAATTTTCCTTCCCTATGGTTTGCAAGTTATTGCTAGATTCGTCTCTAGACTAATTCCTACCTTTAAAGTACAAGGGACCAAAACATTAGAGAATCGTAAACCATAGGGACGGAAACAACAATTATTTGTAAGCCATAAGGATGCAAATAGCAATGAATTACAAACTATAGGAACGAAAAATGCAATTTCCAAACCATAGTTATGAAAATCATAATTTTTAACAAACCACAGGGACCATAAACGTAATTTACTCTTAAATTAATAACAAAATAGAAATAAATCAATTGACTTCAAAAGTCAAGGTGCCTATTGTTTGAAATGAAGGGAAAATTTATCGAAATACCCCTACCTGAAATTATCTGAGCAATCTTCATTGTGGCCTACAGATTCTTTTGTTTCTGCAGTTTGTGTTTCTCTTGACCGGCATAAAAAAGAAGCCGCCCTTGATCCATTTAATTTTTCACATGTAATCAATTTCCCCTTGCCAGATAACTTCAACTTTAACCAAAAAGGCTGCCGATGGCTGAATTCCCTTGGTACCAGTCCTCGAGTATTACAATTTAATCTGGGATGATGTGGATTTTTAACCGAAGAGTAGATGATCCCATGTACTTTAGCCATAAATACTTGACTGTCACTGGTGGCCTACTTTAGAATGCTGCTTGGGCAAATCGGAAGGATCAAAATCAGAAGTACACAGTCTCATATATCATTTCACAAAGAAAGAAAAAAGCTAGAATCTGAAATAAGAACATGTTCAATAAAAACTAAACAGAATGAAACCAGTACTTCAAGTATTGACCAAAATCAGCACCATATATGCGTTTAAATGTAACTAGTGAACTTGCACGTCCTAGTAACCCTTCTCCCAGAACTACTAACTACTCGTATTTGATACAAGGGTACAATTAATTTCTCTTAGAGGGAAGAAAAAACCTATTTTGTGATACAAAACTGATAGATTTAGAGGCGAAGCAAGGGTACCATGTCATACATATGCAATACTGCAAAATCTGGGTTTTACACTTTCATTAGCCTTATCTCAAAGTTCATCTTACAGCTTCAAACTAAATTTCCCACACTCCCACAATAAGGATTCGTTCTCTTTGTTCTGAAATGGAAAGTCAATCCACACACTCATGTATCCCAAGAGATTCGAACTTACACATTCATATCTCCTGAGAGACTCAAACTTAGGGGCCATTTAGTAAAACTAGCCCCGGTAAGCGCTTATGGGTCACTTACCTTACCAGGTGAGTATGGCACGGACCGAGAATCTTACCCGTTAAGAGACATGGCAAGGACAGACAACCTTACCTGGTTACTGCTTACCAGGTAAGATTATTGCCTACTATGCATTTTGATGGCCGAGAAACTTAACAACCAAGGTAAGTGAGAGTGATGACTCTTACCGATAAGCACGTAAGCGATTGGTAAACAGCCCCTTAAAGCTATATTTGGTAAAGTAACTAATAAGCTAGTTGTTGACTGAAAAGTTATATCTTAAAAATTAGTCATATTTGGAAGGAAAAGAACTAGCTAATAAGCTAGTGGGGATGTAAATGACCTAAAAAGATAATTAATAAGAAGATAGTGGACATAACTGAAAAAAGCTTTAATGAAGCGCTACTAGAAATATAGTTTATCAAAAGACTATCTTAATTCTTATAAGCTAGATTATGGCAAACCAAACCGAACCAAATGTTGTAACTTTTTCAATAAGCTCAAAAACCTAGGTTATGGTTGCCAAGCATGGTCTAGCGAAGGATCCTCAAGTTTGTTTGGTACCATTCGTGCAAAGGCCTCTTGGTACCATCAGTCTATCTATCACGCTACATTTTCCAAAAGTTTGTGCGAGCTAAGGCAACCCAGTCAGTTCGCTCCATGGCCTTTAAAATCCGAAACATCTTCCAAAGTTATAGACAAATTAAAACATCTTGAAATCCCAATCATGAGTGGATAATGAATAATGAAGATCTTAACTATTGAAGAAAATGCTTATAAATCTTCAAACATGCACAATTAACTTAAACCCCCATTATCCTGTGTGTGAAGTGAAAAACTAAAAATCCATCCAGGCAAATCATGGCAAAAACATATCATAAAGCAAATTTAAACTCAAACCAAATTACATAAATCATTACTTACACTTTTTCCCGATAAGATCAAAATTTGCAACCATAATAGAATCAATTTCAAAACAAAACACAGAGGTAGCAAAGTCAGTACTTACCTAATCTGAAAGGGAGTAGATAAAGAACATAATTTGCATAAATAGATGACGATTGAGAGAGAGAGTAAGGAAGAGGGGACCAAATGCTAAAGACTGAGGATGAACAGAGTCCACAAGCCAAGCATGTGGCCCCTCGATCGCCAGCACCAACAGTACGGCTTCTGGGGACGAAATAAGTAATTCGGGAGTGGGTTTGTATCGTTTGTAACTTGATATTTATTTGCTATTGTGACAACGTCGCCCATGCTTTCCTTACCACCGAAATACAATTTCTAACATAATTTTAAAATTACAATTTTTTAATAATTTTAAAATTATTATTAAAAATTATCTAAAAG